AACTGGCAAAGGCCTAAAAGCTTTTGTTGGCGGGAAAGGAGCTTTTGTAATCTACGACAGGCGACGTTTTCCCAATCATTTGATAGACTGCAACCGGAACCGGCGAAAAATGATTTAGTGCAAAAATTAAGTGTTTTGCGCTTTTAGCTCTTTGAGTAAACTCATTATTGAGTTGTTAGGTGTTCGTATTCAATTACGTATCAATTTGTGGGAAAATAAACAGTATTACAATAGCGTAATCGCCGTGAAACAAGTGAGCTTTTTTCGAAATGATCGCGGCGGTATTTTATGCCGACAAACGGATTTATAAGGATTGTTTTCGTTTCAATTTTATGCGCGATGTGTATGCCTAATTTCATAATTTAAGAGCAAACATAAAATCCAGCGTTCGCCGTATGAAAAGCATTTTAAAATTGAACCACCACCTGTCTCACGAACGCGGTTTAAGTAAATTTATACCGAATTTGCATTTATAAAGTAATGATTTCGGTTTGATTGCGGAGGCACGAGAAGAAAAAAAGACGCGACCTTACCAGGAAAGCTTATCAGCGTTCTTTTATTCCCCGGAGAACCTATATTTCATGAAACGCGATGGAAATGTTTACTTTTCCCCGCATTAAGTAAACATCGATTCCATTTTTCTTATAGCTTCGATTTTAAATGGGTCATTCATTCGTAACTTAAACAATGGGAAATTGCATATAGAAATCGAGAACAAGCAGAACGATATCGTTTACTTCAGGATTTCATTTTAATCGGATTTTGGTCATTAATCATGAGGCACTTTACGAAACGGGCAGATTGGATTAGATTAAATATTGACGTGTAAATTCGGAATACAATGCTAATGTAATGAGTTTCGCAAAGTCACTCGTCCGCTGCTTCCATGATTTTGTCATCACCCCAAATTAATTTGTGGAATGGACTCGTATTTGGAAACGAAGGTCCTATATGCGCTTACAGTAATAGGGACTGGAAAGCTCGACTCGAAGTTCAACTTACTTCATTCGAGCCGACCTGTGTCTTTTTCGAGCTGAGTTGAGCTTACTAAGTAGCTCGACTGAACTTATTATTAAGCGGCAGAGCAAAGCGATTCAAGCTTCTAGCTTACTAAGTAGCTCGACTGAACTTATTATTACAAGGCACTGTTGAGCATTTAGGAGCACATAGCGATACGATCAAGCTTTCTAGGGGACTTATTATCATGTTTTAAAAAAAATTCCGATTACTTCCGAAGATATCCTGGAACAACCGGAATTTACAGATTTCATTTTTTCTGATGATATTTGAGCAGACAGAAAAATAAAAACACACTTTCTGATTGCCACTTTTTCAAAGCTACAAGGCACTGTTGAGACATTTTCATTTAGGAGAAATCATCATTTAAACTCAATTTTTTATATGGTAAAAAAACATACTGTGTTGAATACATTTTTTAATTACGAATACGATACATAGCACATAAAAAACGTTGGAAACTGTTGGTTTCAACACGATGGTGCACCCGCACATAACGCTCTAATCGTGCGAGAATATCTATCGGACAAATTTCCTGGAAAATGGAAAATTTCTCCAACACAGGTTTTCACCGATTTTTTGTCAACTCCTTTTAAATCGCCTATAAATTCTGTTGAAAGATGACTTGCCCAAATTCCAGGGGGAAATATGCTTTTTTACATATATTTTCGCTTGTAGTTTCAAAACGTTCAAGAATTCAAGATTGGACAACTGCATCAAAAGTTATGGGCAAAGAAAACCGATTTCCAAAGAAAATAGCTATAACTGTTGATGTACTGGTTCAATAATGAAGATTCTGGATTCTACATACATAAGTCTATAAGCAAAGGTCCGGAAGATTTAATAATTGTCGATTTTCGGTGAAACGGCACGTGTACACTTTCCTATAAATTCTGTAGACCCGTCCAAATCTCACCGGGAAAAACTGGTTTTTGTAGATTTTGGTCTGCAAATTCCAAAACAGACTACTCCCAAGAAAAAGAAAAGGGCGATAACGTTTGATTTAATACTTTCAATCTTAAAAATTCTGGGAACATTTGGATTCTACAAGCGAAAATTTATAAGGAAAATCATTCCTGTGCTATTTTAGATTTTGAAGTTGGAGGGAAGTGGAGGGAGAATAAAGTGAGGAGGGAAAAAATTACAAATGTGCGCCCTCGGTGGTGAAATATTTGTTGAAAACCGCATGGTGATATCACATTCTGTTGAGAGTGAATTGTGTCGAATGCGATAGCCTGTATACAAGTTGTTTCACGCAAACCGTTAGTATTTGGACTTTCATTGATAATTAAATCTGAAAATATCTACAGAAACATAGTTTTTCATGATCTATCGAAAGAAAATATTATCATGATCGTTTCATTTCATTTTTTTCTTAAGAACACCCTGCATTTCATTGTATTTTCGAAATCCACATAAAAATCTGAGTCGTTTGATACCAAATTTCATACAGCATCAAAGGTTTTCAAAATATTCAAGATTTGTCAAAATTTTTGCCGTTTGCTATTCTTTTAAGCCCTGTACCTATGACACCGTTGACTTGAATTTCAAAGTGTTGATTTAAATTTTGATCGCCCTTTTACAGGGTGTTTTAAAAAACAATGGTCAACTTTATTAACTTCTTACCTTAAAAAGTTGATTTTTTCAAATGAAAGATGCTTTATTTTTTTGTACTTTCAAATGCCAAAAAAATTCTACATCGATCTAATATATTCCTTATATTACCTGCTGTATTCCCTGTACAAGAGCGATCAAAATTTAAATCATTGTCACGCAGCATCAAGTCAGTAGGTACTGTCGATTTTGGAATACTTTTTAAAATTCAAGTCAACGGATTCATAGGCCCATGGTTCAAAAGACTAGCAGTCAAACGTCAAAAATTTTCTTTCAATAGGTCATAAAAAACGATGTCGGTGTGCACATTTTCAAATTTAATTAATACTTTTAGGTATCGTTTAGCGTGAAAACAGTCTGTATAAGTGTATGAGGATTAATGTAGGCACGTGGTTATGTGACCTTCATCTTTTTCTGTCGATCTATGTCGCAGTTACAATTTTATTTTTACATAAACGCAGATCATTTGCGAATGAATCGCGAGTAGTGCGGTTGTGAGTGCACAGTTTGTACGAAGCGCGTTTACATTCATTCCACGTGGAAAGGGTGAGTTAATGCCTTTATGACAGATTTGGTGACGCAGCAAGAAGTTAAAACACATTGGCGTCAAATACTTCATCGATTGCTTCTGATGGATTTTATGGAGGCAATCACACTTCAAATAGCAACGGAGATGGAGCCGTGGGCAACCGAGTGCTGTTACTTTCCCGTCCTTGGAAAACGTTACCAAATAAAATCGAGCTGGCTCCCTCCACTTTCGAATGGAATACATGGGTGTGTGAAATACTTCTACCTCCTCTATCTCATGGAAATATTGTAATCGTGTACACTTCCATTTTCAACGACTTAATGGAGATCGAGCCGTAGGCCTTCGATTGATCGCGATGCTGTTGGAGATGTGCCATTTTCTCGTCCTTATAAAGTTCACAACGCCTTCATGTTTTGTTATTTAACTAAAATGGAGTTTGTTCCCACCAGTTTTGGAACGGAATACATGGGTGTGTGAAAATGTTGTAGTCGTTTGCAGTTTATGGAGACGGAGCCGTGGGTCAGAGGTGATCGCGATGCTGTTGGAAATACAGAAGTGTGTAAAATACTTCCACCTCCAATGTCATGGAAATTTTGTAGCAATTTACACTTCCATTGCCAACGACTTTATGGAGATGGAGCCGTGGGCCATCAAGTGATCGTGATGCTGTTGGAAATGTGCGAGGAAATGTGTCACCTTGTCCTTGGAAAAGGCTACCGCGCCTTCGCATTTTATTATTTACCTAAAATGAAGTTTGCTACCACCACTTTGGAAAGGAATACACGGGCGTCTGGGATGCTTCCACCTCCACTATCTCATGGAAATTTTGTAGCTATTGTGCCCTTATATTGCCAAAGAATCTATGGAGATGGAAGCGTACGCCATCGAGTGATCGCGCTACTGTTAGAAATGTGCAACTTTTCCATCCTTAGAAAAGGTTACTATGCCTTCATAACTACTTTGGAAAGGAATACACGAGTGTGTGAAATACTTCCACTTCCACTATCTCATTGAAATCTTGTACTTTACACTTCCATTACCAACGACTTTATGGAGATGGAACCGTGGGCCACACGGAGTGATCGCTATGTTGTTGGAAATGAGCCACTTTCTGGCCATCATATTTTATTACTTACTTAAAATGGAGTACCACTTCGGAACAGAATACACGGGTGTGTGAAATACTTGCAGCTCCACTATCTCATGGAAATTTTCTAGTCATTTACACTTCTACTGCCAACGACTGTATGGAAATGGAGTTTGCTCCCACCAGTTTTGGAACGGAATGCACGAGTGTGTGAAATACTTCAACTTCCACTGTCTCATGGAAATCTTGTAGTACTGTATACCTACTTCCATTGTCAACGACTTTATAGAGATTGAACCGTGGGCCACTGACTAATAGCGATGCTATTGGAAATGTGCCACTTTCCCGCCATCATGTTTTAATACTACTACCACAGGTGTGTGAAATACTTGCACCTCAACTGTCTCATGGAAATGTTGTAGTAATACTTCTATTGCCAACAATTTTATGGAAATGGAGTTTGCTCCCACCAGTCTTGGAACGAAGCACACGGACTGTCTCATGGAAATCTTGTAGTACGTTACTTCCATTGCCATCGACTTTATGGAGGTGGAACCGTAGGCCACGGAGTGATCGCGAACGCCGCCATCATGTTTATTATTGAAATAGAGTTTACTATTACTACTTTGGACGGAATACACGAATGTGTGAAGTGTTTTTACATCCACTACCTCTGAGGGATGTTTTTCTATTTTCAACCACTTTATGAAGGTGGATCAGGCCTTGCGTTAAGGCTAAATAAGTACTGTTCTGATGGTGAGTAAGTTTATTAACAAAATCTTAAATTACACTTTCTAATTTAGCACGTTACAATAAATTTGTATTGTTTTAAGTGGTCCTCTTCCCTATGGATAGGTACAGCGAAAGGTGCCCATTTCAACCTAACCTATAACAGGCCTTTTGTAATTAATTACTAATTAGGTACCTACTTTGCTACAAAGGTACAATAAGAAGACAATGTCAAACGGAGTCTTGAAAACTTTTTGAAAAATCAAGAAAACTTTCTTGAAATTTAAAAAAAAATTTTTAATCAAAAAACTCTTGAAACCTTTTTTAAAAAATTCAAAAAACTTTTTTGAATAAAAAACTTTCTTGAACTTTTTTGAAAAATTCAAAAAACTTTTTTGAATCAAAAAACTTTCTTGACAACCTTTTTGAAAAATTCAAAAAACTTTTTTGAATCAAAAAACTTTCATGAAAACTTTTTTGAAAAATTCAAAAACTTCTGAATCAAAAAACTTTCTTGAAAACTTTTTTGAAAAATTCAAAAAACTTTTTTGAATCAAAAAACTTTCTTGAACACTTTTTTGAAAAAATCAAAAACTTTTTTGAATAAAAAAACTTTCTTGAAAACCTTTTTGAAAAATTCAAAAAACTTTTTTGAATCAAAAAACTTTCATGAAAACTTTTTTGAAAAATTCAAAAACTTCTGAATCAAAAAACTTTTTTGAATCAAAAAACTTTCTTGAACACTTTTTTGAAAAATTCAAAAAACTTTTTTGAATCAAAAAACTTTCTTGAACACTTTTTTGAAAAAATCAAAAAACTTTTTTGAATAAAAAAACTTTCTTGAAAACCTTTTTGAAAAATTCAAAAAACTTTTTTGAAAAATTCAAAAACTTCTGAATCAAAAAACTTTCTTGAAAACTTTTTTGAAAAATTCAAAAAACTTTTGAATCAAAAAACTTTCTCGAAAACTTTTTTGAATCAAAAAACTTTCTTGAAAACTTTTTCGAAAAAATTTGGATTCTACACACCAAAATTAATAAGAAAAAATCTTTTCCCGAGAAATTTTGGTGTAGTCGATTTTTGGTAAAAAAGGAAGGTAATACACTGCCTTTTTTTGAGGCTCAAAAAAAAATGGTCTCAGATCGACCCAGAAAAAAAATTTTCTTATAGAATGTGTGGCCTGTAGAATCCATAATTTCACGGTTTGAAGATTGAGCTACTAGATCAAAAGTTACAGCCCCTTGAATTTTTCCACGAAATTGGTTTTTTCCCTATAAATTTTGATTCTGAGGTCTAATCGAAAAAATACGAGACATTTTGGAATCTACGATGTTAAATTAATAGAAATAAGTCGTTTCCCGAACATTTTTGGTGTAGTCGATTTTCGGTTATTTCAAACGATATAACATGACGTTCACAACATATGACAATGCCGTTTCAATGGAAATGACCGCGGCAGCAGAATCTACGCTTGCTATTTTTGTCGTCTAAATTCAATTCAGGATTGTTAGATGATTTACAACGATTTATATGGCTTTTGCTATAGAGCTATAAAGTTTTGTGTTATACACGACCATAAAGGGAAACTAACCTTCTCGTGAAAGTAATTAACATCTTTTACTCGATGGTTAAAATATCCCTTTATCGTGTTATTTAATAAATAACTATTTACCGAAAACGTCCGAGGTGTGTAACTACTCAAAAGAAGTAATTTCTTTCAAGTGACTCAAATGGTTTAATTTTTTTATAAGTTTGTATAAGTTTTGATCATACCTAGAGTGGACCTGCGTGAGAATTGTCGCCAATTATTGACAGAGTCCCAATTGATGACTTGCGAGGTGGAAGTTCATTCCAGGAAAGTGCAAATTGTCTTCTCCGAAACCAATCCATTGAGCTGATATCAGCCATGGAGTAGGCAGGGTCATCAGGATTCATTGCAGATCCTCCGATTCTCCAGTACCAGATTTTTCGCCGATCAATGATCTGCCGGTGAAGACCATACTGTAATGCTCCGAAATAATTATGCAATCGTCTCGACCTCATCTTGTTTTACTACTTACTGCTCAACACCGATAACAACATTTAACTTGGTGTAAGATTCCGCGATAGCTGCATGAAGATGACATGGATATGGGGTACGTCAATGGCAACGTCCAATTTTCTGTGTAGCAACCCGTGTACCTTCTTGTAACGGGTTATAAGATGGAGAGTTTCATATTGAACTTATACCGCAATCAAGAAATCTTCTCCATTTGTATTGTAACTGTCAAGAGACATCAAAGATGCGTCCATTTGGGAAGATCGGTGCACTGTGAACAAGAGATCTCACTACATCAACAATTCACTTGTGGTGAACCTACAACTTTGCTTAATCACTTGGTCTCGCACCGTAGGTCAATGAAGCGACAGCTTACGTACTTTAAAAGCACCACTGCATCAGCTCAACCATCTCTAAACTTGAAGCCATTCTTAAATTGATTCACAATGGTGGGGGGGCTAGGTCCACCGGGGTTACATTCGACGCATTCTCTGCTGCACTATTTCCTTCTGCCTGAAGGAAAAAAATACACACTTAGCAAGAGAACCAACAAAGACAAGACAAGAAATGTCGTGTCACAGATTTACAAAAAAGCGCATTACCACATTAACTGTCCCAAATAAACAATGCAAGTTTGCGGATGCGTAGTATTTTATTGCGCCTTTTAGTCTGCGTTTTGATTACTTTTAAATTTTAATTAATATTTTTATGAAGCACTTTCCCTTACAATTTCAGAAAAAATCGTCCATAGAAGAGAAAGTTGGGTCGGCGGGTGCGAAATCTATTTTTTTCAAAAAGTGCACATAAAAATAATGACCCAAATGGTTAATCGTGGATTCAAACGAAGCCAATTTTATTTTTCTCTATCAATTTAATCCTTTCCTCAATCAAATTTTGGGATTCTTTGACCCAAAATGATTGCTAAAGTAGAGCAAGTTTCATGTTTAAATTTTGGCTAATCAAAAATTAACAAACAAACATATAAATTATTTTATTATTTATTATTCTTCTCTTGTTCTGAGTCCTCAACAAGCCGTTAGAAGTGGTATTTACGAGCCCACATGAGGAAATCCTACAACATATTTAGGACTTAATTACACTAAAAAAAATGTTTAGTAGGTAATTTTATCTGGGCACTACGAACTTCGCACAAATCTGAATTGACGGACATCTACAAAAATTAAGAAAACTTAAGTCCTAGTAACAAGCTTCCGTTGCTTTGTATAAAATAAAATTCGACCCCTACGGCACTTGGAAAAACTTTAATGTGACAATTACTTTTTAATTTACACATGGCTAGATCTGTATAAAGAATGTTTTTACCTTGCGGAAGTTTCGCCCTTATTAACCTAAATTCAAAATCTAATACTCTGTTTTGATCGATCTCAAAATACGCATATGACTTTATACATATATTAATAAAACCAAAGGCGGTCAAATTCCATTTTACTGTATACGTTGTTGAATATAAATTACGAGTCTGATTCATAAAAGAAATACAAACAATGCGATGCCTATTTCGTGATCGCGCTTCTATGTTAACTTCGATTCTTATCTAAAATTCATCTTTATCACATAGTAAATTAGTGGTACATTCTCCTTTCTAAAATATACACACACCTCTGAATGTTAAACAAAATTTGAATCCAACCAATGGAATGGTATCACTAAAATTAAATGTAAAATTCCAATCAATGAACAAAATGTCCAAATTCTTTGTTTGGATTCGAGTCTTATTCATATATGTAACAAAGTCTGTTCATGCCAATAATTCTCATGAGTCGAATCCTTTAGGAATATCAAATTTACCTCAAACTAAAGTTAATATGCAAGAAAATCGCCGACCAATACTTTATAAAAATCAAAAAAATTACTATTCTCTTATAGCAACCCTTTAGAAATATGAAAACATGTCGCTTCTGTGTGGTACAACTGACTCCGTGATTAATGCAAACCACAAATCTCCATATGTATTACTAATCCAAGCAAACCATAAAGTACCTAATATTCAGAAATTGATTGGTATTAATTTTTCCCAATTTATTAACTAGGTGTCATTGCGGGTAAATACACCGATTAATTGTCTTTAAACTTCCTGCCGAATGTTATTTATCGCACAAGGTGCTGTCGAAATGCGAAATGAGAAACTTGCTTTTAATCAGCCGTTACAATTAGCGAGAATTGGAAGAAATTAATGTGTTGAAAATAGTCGCTGCTTATTAACACGTTAAATTCAGACGTATGTGGAAGGTTTCAGTGTTTAATTTCTTCCAATTCTCATTGATGTCTACGCAATTTTGAGTAAAAACATAACACGGATACTGCCGATGTTACTCTTAGCGATACGAATAAACTTCTTTGTTGAGATTATGACGAGATTTAATGTCAATTAATTAAAATTTCGTCCTGAGGTGTCGAAACAGATTAGGTTAATTCTCGTCGATTTTTATCGTCCGGAACTAAACGGCTTTACTACGAACTAGGCGGAAGTCCGGTTTTAACGCACGACACATTTAGAAGTTCTCGCCACTTACTATAATTTGACCCAAAGTTAAACTGCTAATTCCTCTACTATTCGGATAAATTTCACTCGATAATTGCACGTTTTGGTTCTGGAGTCTCGACCGCAAACCCTCACGCATAAGCGAAATGAAAATTTTTCTTACACAAAATTGTACGCGCCTGCTTTTACATCTTCGATAAAAATTCTCAATTTCAGCACACTTAAAATTGTATGCTGCGGTTAGAACTTAGAATGAATTTTCACCGATTGAAAAATTCACGCACCAGGACCTATTTTCTGAACAAAAATCTCGACTCCCGTACCTTTTTAAACAAATAGAAATCCTACTTCACGTGCTCAGCTTTTCACAGAACGGAGCAAAACTTTTGGTTCCGGAGAAATCCGCAATAAGTTTCTTGCTATCGCTGGTTATCGTCAGGCATACTTTCGTTCACGTTCGCTATGAAGCGGTACATGTGTAAATTTTGGTATGCTAAACAAACTACAAATTCTAAAGCGACTTCCCGTTACACTAGACATGCCTAAAACTGTCTCGATTCTGTTCCCACTAGTTCGTGAGATAACTACGTTTGTCTGAATCTCCCTCTATGCACCCTGTCTATCTTCTTTTATTAGCTGACAAAGAGCATCAATGTCTTTTGGCACGATTGCAGTTTTTTTTCGATGGGTCCCCATTGAAATTCGGAATGCTAAGATAAACTACTGCAGTGTTTTATCTCCAAAAACAGAAACATAATTTTTTGGGGATTAATTTTCTTTTAAGGCATTATTTTCTTGAAATAAATGCATTTTGTGCAATTTACTCAAACATTAACTGAACTCTTGTGTTGTCTTTCTGATTTTGTCCATGCACGAGACATACCAAAACAGTCCAATTGGCAAAAATAAAACTCAAAAATCTCTATCCATTCTAGAGGTGTGGTAGTCCCGGAGCGATAGACAGAACGTACGATTACATACAAAGATTTTGACTCTACTTGGCTTTCGCTTCTTAAAAACTCCAGTTGTCCAATAACCAAATTTAATACGTGGTATATGATGCTCTTTTGAATTGAAAATGACAAAAAGTCTGTAACAGGTACAGGGTGCGTCAGTTGAACCCCTAAATAAATTTGTGCACGAAAATCACAAACTTGCATTGAAAGGGTCCAAATTTAACTTCACTCTGGTTAATAAGGCTTTAATGGAAGTTTCCCTTAATTTTCAATTATTATGGAGTGTACAACAGAAGAAAGAGGAATTGTAGTGAGAGGGTGACAGGCTGTTTCACGCAAACCGTTACCTAAAAGTATTCAGGCTTTCATTGATAATTTAAATCTGACAATTTGCATACTTACAAACATAGATTTTCATGATCTATCGAAACCGGATGTGTATAATAACTTTCTAATTTTAAACACCCTGTATTTTATTGCTTTTTCAAAATCTACATGAAAATCTACGTCGTTTGATATCACATTTCCCTACGTTTTCAAGTTATTCAAGATTTTTCAAAATATTTGACGGTTGACTACTTTTCTTTTGGGCCCGTACCTATGACTCCGTTGATTTGTATTTCAAAAAGTCTCAAGAATACTGGCTTGATGCTACATGAAAATGATTTAAATTTTGATCGCTCTTTTACAAGGTGTTTTAAAGCTAATGGTCAATTTGATTCCTAAAAACCTTAAAAAATTGATTTTTTCCAATAACTACATTGTTTTATTGAATTTAATCACTAATTTTTGTGCATTAATAGGTAATTTTAATCCCTCATTTTTTTTTTTTTTGTGAACAGTTCAATTTGTTCCCTTAAGAATATTAAAGCCCTCGGCTTTAAACCATTCTCTCAGGAACAAAAACTCTTTTTAATCCCTTGTTACTTAATATACTATTTTTAAACACATGTCTTATTTTTTCATTCACAAATGAAAAAACTCTTTATCGATCAATTATTACAATCAAAAAGTACTCGATCAAATTCACTGAACAATCTGGTCACACCAGTTCCCTTTGAAATAGGAAAGGTATTCAAAAAAGTGCGACCATTCGCCCATTTCTCCAAAATTAAAGGATTGTAATCATTGTGTATTTTGATTTATTTATTTGCCACAAAAGGGCACGTAGTCTATCGAGAAGGTAATCAACACTCACCCTTTCCACGTGGAATATAAACACGTTTCTTACTAATGGAGCACATACAAGCGCACTCACTGGCGATTCATTCGCCAATGAATAATATACATACGTAATCTCTTGTAATTTCAACGTACATAAGTAAAAACAGATACACGTCACCTGACCACGCGCTTTCGATATCCCTATAAAGTTACAAGTATAATGAGTACCGACCGGAAATAAAGTTTTCAATATTAGACGGCTACCCATGTCCAAAGGAAAAGGAAAGACTTTTGATGTAATGGTCCAATCTTGAAAGTTCTAGTCGTTTTGAAATCTGCAGGCTAAAATATACAGGGTGACAATTTGAAAACTTACCACCCCCCATATCTTAGTAAATAAACGAGATATTTAAAAAAATCAAAATCCGTTTCGGTAATTTGGAGGGGGAATCACAATGACATAGTTGGCGACGCACACCCCCTGCGCCCCAGCCACCCCAACTTTTAAATCTTAAATAGTGACCCCCCATGTGTGATACGTCGTTGGAAAGCTCTGAAAAAATGCTTTCCAACCATACCAAATAGCATTACATTTAGGTTAGTAATTATCGTGCAAATCAAAAAATAAACTAATATGATACATTTGAAATCTGTCGTATTTAAAACGCAACCGGCGAACATAGACGAACTAAGACAGAGAATAATTCAAGAATGTCGAAATATTGCAAAACCAACATTTGAAAAGGTTCGACAAGAGTTTGAGAATAGATTATAACTGGCGATCAAAAATGAGTTGCTGTCAAGTCGGCTTTGGAAGTTCAAGTTAAATACGATTTTCCATGTTTATTTTTTGATTTGCACGATAATTACTAACCTAAATGTAATGCTATTTGGTATGGTTGGAAAGCATTTTTTCAGAGCTTTCCAACGACGTATCACACATGGGGGGTCACTATTTAAGATTTAAAAGTTGGGGTGGCTGGGGCGCAGGGGGTTGGAGGGGGTGCGTCGACAACTATGTCATTGTGATTCCCCCTCCAAATTACCGAAACGGATTTTGATTTTTTAAATATCTCGTTTATTTACTAAGATATGGGGGGTGGTAAGTTTTCAAATTGTCACCCTGTATAAGAAAAAGTCATTTTCCTGCCAATCTCAAATTTGTCGCTTTTGGGTGAAATTTCAAAGTCGAAATTTTGGTGCTGCCGTCCAATTTTCGAAATTCTAACAGTAGTGCCCCCTACAGGACAAAACTCGATCTGAAATTTTCGACAGTTTTTGTCATTTAGGGAAAGCTTAATTTTCCAGAAGGACCAGGACACGTCGTTTTTCAATGGATTTTAGTGACCTAATCATAACTTCAATTACGAGATACTTTCCTTTCTCAGAATTTTCTTTCGCGCATTCGAAATACCGGCTCGTTACTTTTCATAGCTTCTAATTATAACTCGAAAACTTCGAACGTTTGTGCCATTCTATTTCACCATCCAGTGGCTGTCTCGAAAGGATGAAGCAAAATTGAACTTTATTAAAGAATTTCTACGGTTACTATGACGTCGTTGCTACGTTATTATTGATTTATGGGGGACTCTGTATGCGTTTACATTTTATGAAATGTATTTAGGGCTTCTCGTTTTAGCAATATGCAAGTTCAGTTTTCGCACCGCGTGGGGAACTATTTTAGGAATTCAGTGCATCTCAGTTCATGACTGTAAAAGCTATCAGAATTCGGTGGAAAGCATGAACCATAATGTAAAAATATGTTCGCTATGTTCCCTAAGGTATGCTATCAATTTAAAAACGTTGTTTCCTACAATAACATTAGTCAGTGATGACTATGATGGATTATTACTTGGAGATGGATGTATGTAACTACTCTGGAGTGGGCATTAAAATTTATCTCGTGCAGCATTTATATCCAAATAATTAATGACGTTATTATATTGTTGCAGGTAGAGAAGATGAGAGTGACACCGAGTCGGAACCTGGAATTCCCCTGAAACGCAAACAACGACGTTCCCGGACAACATTCACAGGCGAGCAATTGGAAGCACTAGAAAGAGCGTTCAGTCGGACGCAGTACCCAGATGTTTATACAAGGGAAGAATTAGCGCAACAGACCGGATTAACGGAAGCTCGAATACAGGCAAGCGGGCACAACAAGACCAATTAAAATTTAACGCCGTTATGACGCTTTCAGGTGTGGTTTTCCAACCGAAGGGCGCGATTACGAAAGCACGCCGGTAACGGCAATCCGGCGACGACGCTCAGCTTCGCATCTCTACCTTTAGCGAATATGACCTGCCAGTACACGTCCGACGCGGCCCAGCACGATTGGAAAAACTCCCAGTTCGTCAACTACAACATGCTCCAGCAGACGTCGTTCAATTCGAACAGCCAGGACGTCGCCCGCGCCGATTACGCTACGATATTCGACGCGAACTACGCGATGGCGCACGCGCACACCCAGGCGCACTCCCAAGTCAACAACCCGATGATGCACCGGATGAAGGAGGTCGACGACAAGGCGAACCAAAGTAACCCGCACGGGTCCATGTGGGGCAAGAATATGGAGTGGGGTTCGCTCCCGATGAACCTGCAGCCGGAAAACCTGTCTTATAATATTAACGATATGTTTGGTGCCTCCCAGTATACGGTTAATGCCGCTAAAAATTATTGGGCTTAGCTTGTTTGTTATATTTAAAAATACTTTCTGTACATATCTTTCATTAATATAAGGTATTCTGTTAAAAATTGCTCTTTTCCTATCCCTGCAACAATTCTTTGGCCCAAAGAGCATACAAAAATTTACAAAAAAATTCTTCAGCGATCGTTGTGGAGTTGAGGAGGGCAGATTTGAACAATTTCAGAACGCCCTTTGGGATTCCGAAGAGAAGTTAGTTACTGCTGAATCGGATTGAATAATTTCAGGCAGCAGATGCAAGTGATCAGTGATAAAAAAACGGGAGGCTGGGGAGGGATCAGTTTTTCCTCTTTGTAACGGAAGGTTCCTAGTATTTCCACGAAGATTTCTCCTAGACATATTTAAAGGAGAACTTCTTAAGATGATTTTTTCCTCAAATTTAATTTGAAGAAGTATTTGCTTAAGGCAAAAATAAAGCAAATCGAGAGTGAATTTAGCAGGAACACCGAGAAGATTTCGAAAAAAGTGGAAGATTACGAAGACCTCTAAAAAGATTATTTTCAAAATTCCAAAAAAATTCTACAAGAAGGTTTCTTTCTATTAATAATTGTAGATATATTTTGAAGGACATTTCTGAGATTTCGGTCATCTAAGATTTAACTTCCAGAAACATTTTAAAAGGGGTTTAAGAATAGATTCCTGAAAAGGGAGATATTTTAAATAATATTTTGTTCGGAGAGGGTTCGCAGGAATTCTTAATATATCTCTGGTAAGACTTCTAGCAAGATTTCTAGATAGGATTTGTATGAAGACATTTAGGATGATCTCTAAGGCCTTTCTAAGAAGTTTTCCAGTAACATCATGCCTTTCTAAATAGATAGATTTCCAAAATAAGACATCGAATGATTTTAGTAATAATAACTTTTACAAGTGTTATTCGATGGTTCCTGAGAAGATTCCCGGGAATGTTTCTAGTATGATTCTTACATGGAGGATTTCTAAGCAAAGTATTCAAAGAAGAATTTGCAGGAATATTCATAAAAAAATATTATGAGGTTTATAGTTTTTTGAAGCAGATTTTTAAGAAAATTCCTGAATAGCTTTCATTGAAGATTGTAGAACATTTAAAAGTGGTTTCTAAAAACTAATGGAATGAGATACTGAAAAGGCTTTGTATTTTTATCATAAAGTAATACTCGCCATTTTGTAACACCACTCATATCATTACGTCAACCCCGTTAGCGCCTATACACCCGGATTCGAACCAGGGACCTTTAGTACAGGAGTCCAGCTTCAATTGAACTGCGCCACCCGAGCCGGTTTTCTAGGGTATGTGGCCGTGACCGGTGAAGTTTTTTCCAGCAAGAAAAATACTCCTGAACACTTAAAAATCTTAAAGGTCTTTCTAGACCCTTAGTGATTTTATCAAAAAACTTTCCTCAAACCTTCTAGAGAACCTCTACGAAAGAAAACGCAATTTTAAGAATCTTTATGATTTCAATAAAAATGAATTGGAGGCGTGTTCGGCAATACGCTCGGGCCCGTAGATTTTGTTTTTGGATTGACATTGGGTATACAGTGTGCTCCAAAAAAAACCGTTTTCCAGAGATACCCGTATATTTTCGGATTCTCCAGAAAATTCTGGAGACGCTCCGGGTAAATGCCTTATACCTATCTTTAACTCTTCACGGAAGAGTCACGTTCAAATGTTAACATAACAATTTATTGCTACAATTGTTTTTTGAAATTATTTTACCAAATGCTAGGAGTGTCCCCCGTGAACAGCTCTGCAGTACCTCAAATGATAAATAAATTCCTACTGTACAGGATGGTTCAAATAAGTGGCTCACCATTGGGATCTCCGTAAGGTTAAATGGGGACAAAGTTGCTCCTTTTTGTAACTAAAAAAGCATTTGAAATTTATGAAAAATTTTTAAAGATAACTGAGATCACTGAAAAACTGAAAATGTCAAATTTCGTTTTCATTTTCCCTAGCTTAAACCGTCAAAAATGAACACTTCCCGTTAGCACCTTCCAGGGATACTTTTTTTTGGAGAATCTCTTTCCAGAATTTCCATTACACGTTACACCTAGAAGCTACAGGCTACTAATGTCTTATTTTTATGGACGCCTTATTGGATTTTTACGGAGTGAGGTAAAGGATACAAATTTCAATGCATCGCCTTCATATAGCCATGTTGATTAAGCAAGATTTGGTTACCCGTAGATGTTTTGTGGAGAAATGAATGTAAAACACTTGATTTTGAAAATTTTCTTGTAAATTTATGTAAAAGTATAAAGTGAGACACTTTATTATTTTTCTCTTTTTGTTCTCTATCTCATACGGTAAAATCCAATTGAGCGTCCATAAGAAAGAACCTCGCGCTACTAGATCTGGTGTGTTATGACATTCTGATACCAAAGACTGATTCTCCGAAAAATGGTGCTAACGGGAACAATTCATTTCCTAGCGTTCAAACTTAACTTAAGAAAATGAAATTTGGGCTTTTCAGCTTTTCGGGTATATCTGTTATTTTTAAAGTTTTTTCAAAAATCCGTCTTTGTAATCACAAAAAAGGGCAACTTTGTGCCGTTGCAACCGACACATATCACCATTACGGAGATCCCAAAGGAGAACCACGAATTTGAACCACCCTGCACAATTTCAACATTTTCTGGAAACATATTCCTAATTACGGTGAACTGTTCACGATAGATATAAGGCATTTACATGAAACATGTCTAGAATTTTCTGGAGAATACGAAAATGCAATATAGGTACGTGTATTTCTATTTACCTAAGGAAAAATATTTTTCCTGTCACGCATTTTTGGCACACCCCGTATACCTACGTTACCACAACAACAAAATATGAATGCATGAAAAATGGGAACGAAAAATGTCCACACATGGAACAGAAAAAAAATCGTTTTGGTCTATAAAATCCAAAAAAGGGCATAGCCAAGATCAGTTCAGGAGAGACCAACTCATTTGTACACAAGGCACGAATTATCATCTTACCTATATAATCAAACAAAAAACTTGTTGCAGAAAAAAAGCGCTTTATAATAAACGCCGAGAATACAAAAAATCGTGAACACCAAGATAGAGATACAGCTAACAACGCGTTTTGTAAATGAAGGAAAACGAGTTTTTTTCGTAGTCGAACGAAAAAAGAGATTTTCTGATAATTGTTGGTCTACACAATCACTACAAACAGAAATAGAACGATCAACTCGATTTGTAAAAACCAATTGATCAAAAAAGTTTGTACAGAACTAGAAAAACGGCCTTTCCTAAATGGGTTTAATAAGCCCATCTCTATTTGTAGTGATCGGACCTTCGCACTTTTTGTTTTGTGGATTCTACCAGTCAAAATTTGTTACATTCGTCCTTTTCCATCTGATCTGGTGGAAAACTTAAATCTTAAACAAAATTAATTAAAAATATAACGGGAAAGGGGTACAAATGAATTATAGAAAGGGGTCGCACAAACTTCAAGACATCTTCCTTCAATTTACATTAGAGAGCTTTTCGATGTAAATTTGCATCGATCTCTTTGATTCTTAATTAAAAGTTTTTATAGTGGCAGATAACAACCCCATTAAGTTTGAACTTTATTTTTCATATTTACTTTTCAAATTGAATATTAAAACTCATTTGAATCTTCCTTGAATTTCCTCACTTCATAATTTAAAGGACGAGCTTTAATTTGAAAGGACGAGATGGAATTTTTTTATTATACACGCGGAATAACCAGTTTTCTATAACGCAAATTCATCAAACGAAACTTCGTTTTGATAACCCTTAGCTGGGGGAGAAATATAAGCATGATACATATGTATTAAGCGCTTCGACGGCAAGTCCGTCGAGAATAAACCGCACGGGTCGACGTGGGCCAAGTATAGGGAGTGGGATTCGCTCTCGATGAACCGAAAAACCCCCCATATGAACCACATATAACCTAAAAAGCTTGAATGATACACTTAAATATGCTTCTTGTACATATCCTTTGTTAATATAAGCTATTCCTGCAAAAATGTTTGGCCCAAAGAACAAAATAGTCAATGGTTGTCCAGTTGAGGGGGCCCGATTTGGACAATTTCAGAACACCCTTTTGTATTCGAAAGGGAGGTTGAAATCGCTGCATAGAATTGATTAACTTCGCCAAATGCGGGTAGGTACACCGGAAAAACGTGAGGGTGGGAGGGGTTCAGTCCCAGACAGGCTTCAAGGGGGATTTCTAAGATCTTTCCTTCAAAAGACGGTCTCTAAGTACCTATAGTGGTCTGTAAAATCCAAAAACACATCTGTCAAGATCTTATCACTATAAAAAAGGCAAAGCTACCAAACCCATTTCTTTGGTTTCAGGTTTACCGGAAGAAAAGTATCGTAAATTTAAAATTGCCTCTAAAATTGAAGTAGTTTTGTTGGATATAAACTGAAAATAGACGTTTTCTAATGGGTTTTCGCCTGTAAAATCCAATAAAGTCATAACTGCTAAGACCTTGTTACGACAGGACATACAGAAGATTTGTAAAAACAAATCGGCCAGGAAATGTAGTTTTCTAATACCAAGAGATGTTCGAAATGAGATTACAAAAATAAATCAGTTAATTAGTTCACATGCAAAATGCTAGTAACGAAAAAATTTACCTTGTTAATTGTAACGAATCTCTGACCTCAAGCACATGGAATTTTTAACGCTTGGTGTACAATTTCCGCAGATCGGCTTTCGGGAAGATTTTGCGTAGCGGTTTAGAATCCCGGGATATCTGTACTTTTTCGGCTGAATATTATCTTCTTGGTAGAAATTCTTCCAAAATTTAATACTGGTGGGTGAAAACGCTTCTTTTTTTTCTATTATCACAATGAATGGACATTTTTATTACCATGCTTTTGTTAGTTGTTCAATAGGTACTCTTCTTTACACCCACCCGACTTTTTACTTCATCTAGCCCGTATTACTCTTAAAAAATCACCAATTCGTATTGCTAAATTACAAATCGCAATTGCTCGCTACTAATACATGTACCCGCTTACGGAGTTTGTGTGCGAATGAATAATGCTTTCCTTATACAAACTTAGTGACTAATAAATCACAATTGATCGCGATACAGTTCATTGCTTACCATGCTGGAATAATTTTATCTACTTTAATAATTAATACACTGCCAAATAATTCAACTTTAAATTACGTTCAAATACTACCCCATTATACCGGGTGATTCATTAGAAGTGAGGACAATTTGAATTTCCCGCAAATCAAATAAATTATGAAGTTAGTACTAACTGATGATCTTTTATTTAATTGCAGTGGTGTATCATCGTGCTTTCAGTAAATCGTTTACTTATTTATAATCTACAAATACTGCTTCTGTTTTACCACAAATTATAAACTAACACTAGATACAGTCAAGTTTCTTACATATTTTAGTGCATCAACTCTAAAAATTGTTCAAAATGGAAAATGTAATAAACCGCAAATGGCACACAACAATTAACGGCGACACTGGTTTCTTAAATGACACTCATGTCAGAAAAAGATTACTAACGAAATTCAAACCGTCAATCTAATAATGCAAAAAATACTAAAACCTTACGCGCGAAATTCAAGCGATCATCACTTCTAATGAATCACCCGGTAGAAGGTAAAAAGGAATTAATTTTGTAATAAAAATGTAGGCCATTACATTGTTGGTGCTATCAAAAAAGCAGTATAGGCGTGCTCATGTGCTCTCGCTTAAAAGATTCGGCAAATCAAAAAATTGTCAATTTCAGAATGACTATATTTTGTTAGATAAACGAAATACAGAAGTTTCTGTATAATGATCGTTGAATACGCGGTCGTTTTCAGAATATGTATACGAGTCCGGTAAAAAACGATCAGACCTAACGTCATTTTTTGAACAGAACACCCTCTGTATATTTTAATCTAAGAAAATGGCGTATTAATTCTTTTTTCAAAAATATAACATACCAGAGATGATGTTCTAAAAAGATTCAAGTGAACACTAAAGTTTATTTTATCCGACTTCGAATATTCTAGCATGGAAGAAAAATGTCTCCCAAGCTAGGTGTAGGTGGTAACCATGGTAATAGAATCAACAAAATTATAATAGGTACGAAAAATTAAGCAGCGTACTTTAAGTATTGTATAAAGGAGATATGAGACGACATACTAGTTCAAATGAACCTTAGAAACGATTTAAAATGCAAGTGTTATAAAAGGTATATAATTGGAAACTTCAGTAGTATCGGTTTTGGAAAAAAATTGGAAATTGAAGCAAAATTAATTAAAAATATAACACGGAAGGGGTCAACTACAGAAAGGATTCGCATCATAGACTACAGGCCGTCTTCCTTCAATTTATATTGGAGAGCTTTTCCATGTAAATTTCCATCGGTTCCTTATTGGTTCTTAATTAAAAGTTTCTATAGTGGCAGATAACAACCCAATTAAGTTAGAGCTTTACTTTTCATATTCAATCTTCCAACTTCCGCACTTCAACATTTACAGACCGAGCTATGTGAATACAATATGAGAATTCCCAAGCTGCAATAACAACATGCCGGGCGCGTCTGAAGGGGCTTTAATTTGGAGGCGCGAAACGGAATTTTTTAATATGCGTGCGGAGTAACGATTTTCCATATCTCAAATTGATCAAACGAAACCTCGTTTTGCTACCCCCTTAGCTGGGGAGATATATACGCATGATACATATGTAGGAGCGCTTCCGTCGTAATCGGGACGTAATGACAAAGGAAAACTTTCTCATACAACAAAACGTTTCAGTTTTGACTGTCTGAAAGGAATCTAACGATTGCGGATAACTTTTTCGGTATTTTTTCGCGCTGTAATTTTATTCATATGCAGATTTTATTTCTTTCAATTTTCCACTAAATAAAAACCACAATTTTCCATCCAACTTACCTTTGAACTGAAAGCGCGCCTCCTCAGAAAGCTCGAAATAAATTTAAAGGCGCGTTGATAATATATTTTATTAGACTTTCTCTTACATTAAGTATACGTACATCTTTTTATTTAATATAAGTTTAATATTTTTCCACTAAATACTAAAAGACAAAAGTCAATAACATTATTGTCTATGTTTAACATTTATTGTCGGAAGTAAAACTATTGTCTGACACAGCAAATATTCTTCCAATATTGTCATAAGTTAGAAAACCGTTTCTTTAAATCCAGCCGCCACGGTTGCGTACCAGAAAATAAAAACCAAATTCATCAAATGGCCCAAAGTTTTTTCGTACAGTTCACCCTCTAGTCTAATACTAATCTTAAAATATGTCCTACTGAATATGTTTCATTTGATATTCTTGATTGAATTCAGATGGAGGAGGAAAAGGAGGGAGGTTAGTTAAAATGATATGGAAGGTAGATATGTGCCCAGAAGTGTGGGTAGGTTAGTAAGGCGTATGAAAATAGTACGGGCTTTTCTTGCTATCTTTAATTGTGGAAGGTGTGCATGGGGAATTTTCGTAGAAGTAGGTGATTGGCGGCTGGAATTAGTAGAAATCGTTTATTCTCCGCGTTTTGGGCGAAGGGGTCGTCTTCGGCTTCCCCATCTGAGGTAGTCTCCCTAGAAATTATAATTGAGTTAGTCCATTGTTCATGCTTTTACCTCCACAAAGTAGTGTATAACAACAATGGAATACATTTCTAGATGGTAATCGTGCCATTTATCAAACGGCTATTGATTTACACGTAAAATGAGTTATGAATCTAGGGTGGTTCCAAGTCGCTTCGTCTATCTATTCATGCACAGTCTATCTACGGTACAAAACACACACATCTGACCTGCACGGGGGGCATTCTTCGTAATTAGTCGATCTACCAGATCTGTTGAATCTTCTAGCGCTTCGAAATGAGGGTAGCCAACCTAAACGAGCTAAAGACCCGATATGCCTTTTATCGGGATTTCTATATCTGACCAACGACGATGGCCAACCGCTTCTCGCAACCGAACCTTTTTAACAATATTAAAAATTACACAACATCCTTCAATATGAATTTGGGAGCAACCCGAGGGCCATCCCCTTCTGAAAATACATTAATTTAATTCTCCGGCCGAGTGCCCTAATTATAAATTCACTTTTCATCAAAGTACGATCTAATTTAACTTTTACGAGCATTAAACAACTTCGTTTTTTATTTTGAATGTCAAAGGCACGTGTACCGCTTCGTGACTCGAGCTATTGATCGCTTACTAATGCATTATGCTCGTAAATGAGTAGACGGGGGACCATGGATACCTTTCAGTAGAGCGTACTTCCAATTATGGACAAATACAGCTTTGTAGCTAAATGTATTACGGAACTGACGAACGCTACAAAGGGTACAAACAAATTGGTTGCTACGGACAGAATAAATCGAAAAGAAGTACGCTTTGATCGTTGTAGATTTCAGCTTTAGTTTAAGCGTGGCAAAACCCAATCAAATTTGCCACAATAGTGAGCGAAGAAACGTGGAAAATGCACTCTGTGCATAACACTGCTACCCTGACCAGCACGGGAGTGTACCGCTCGATTTTCCAACGAAGTTAATAGAGAATTTCGAATTGTCACTAAAGTGTCAATCGATAGCTCTGTCAAACCTAACATTCAGGATATCAGACATTAGCGTCCTTTTTTTTTTTTAATAAATTTATTGCCAGATCAACAATCATAAGTTTGTTATACATAGCAGTGATAAGATTCAGTATGACTGTGTATCGTGACTTAGAGAGACTAAGTAGCGGTCCCTAGGAAAGTTAACCAATAATAAGTTAATCTTCTTCGTCGCCTGATAAAATAACGTCTTGGGGTAACCTGCGTTTGAGTCTGGTGTGGATATTTGGTTGAAATAGTTCATAGAACACCGCACCACTGCACGCACTTGAGTTAGTAATAAACTTTTTGGCACATTTATTAATATATTCTTGGATAGGCATTACTCCTAACTCTAAATGTAGCTGGGTGTTCCTAATATACCATGGTGCGTTGACAGCGGTACGCAGCACCTTTTTTTGGAATCGCTGCAGTTTTTGCATATTTGTTTTAGATGTGTTGCACCAAACCGGTGAAGCGTATAATGCTAAAGGTCGTAATAAGCTCTTGTATAGTAAGACCGTACATTCTATTTTTAGGGTTGATTTTCTGTTTATTAGCGGGTAGAGTTGCTTTAGCCTATTATAACTCTGAATTAATTTTTGGTTTATATGGTACTTCCAGCTTAGTCGGGTGTCTAAATGTACTCCTAAATATTTAGCGGCTGAGTCTTTGTCCATCCAGGATATTACTTTACTATTGACATGAATACTAGGAGTATCGTTGAATCTTCGTAATGTAAACACCTTGGCTTGGCATTTATCAGGATTTATTTGGATATTCCATTTTTTAAACCTTAGCGTCCTGATTCTTGCGGCAATTTCTGATAGAAACTTTTTGGTTTTGGGTGTATACCTACTCTGCCCTTCTTTGCTCGACGATCGAAAACAAACATTGGAGTCGTGAAAATCCGCCCCTACACCCCGTCCCCAAAATAACAGACCCCTTTAAATCCAAGCCAACCGATTCATCCACCCATGTTGAACACCAAGGGAAAAGCAACCACCCCTTCAATATTTGATAAAACTTAGTGGGTATCGTTAACAGTTTTTAAATTACGTGCACTTGCATTGTTCTCCTCCTATGAAATGAACAACATGAAGTTGGAAGTACAGACTGAGAATCGAGAATATCTCCGTTACAGGCTTGAGCACCAAATTTATATTATACGGAAAAAAATTGCACAAAATGAGCACAAAATTATAGCGTGTGGATGACTTGAATATCTTCATGTCGTACGTGCAACTTCACGGACCTAACTCAACTCTGAAAGAATCTTTTCCAAGATAAGTCGTCGCTAGAATATTCACAACTGCAATATGTGCCAATGGAGAACTCGCTCTCACCTGACTACCTTCTCCCGCCAAATGGGCCCCTTTTTTCAAAAATCCCGCATTTGCCTCGAACTATTTTTTGAATGTGAAGTGGTCATGGCTGAAATCGTGTACGTTGCAAAATTGTGTGATTGTGTAAACTGCAGAATTCGGAAACTACAAAAATTATAAAAGCGAAATGAAAATCTCTTTACGTCCTTCGGGTCTGTAGAATCATAAACTGTAATACCGTAATGATTCTACAGATTACGTTAAGTAATTATGAAAGCTTTATCAACCTTTTAGAATCTGTGGATTAGTGTGTAGAGAATACGAAAATATTACATAGAATCCGTCGATTTATTTAAAACGGAGTATTTATTATGTTTGTTTGTTTGATCTGTGTATTATGAAGTATTTTCATTAAAAACCAAGTACATATATACAAAAGTATTTAGGGTTGATGGATCCTCTTAAAGGATAATAATTCTAAGAATGAAAATAGTTTATCTCAGCAAAAATGTCAACCCTTGTCGTAGATAAAGGGATAAGTTGGAAGGTATTTTCATTAAAAGCTACGTAAGTTCAAAACAGATTGGGGTTGCATTTTTATATGAAAAGAGTTGCTAGCGATTGCTCTAAATGGAATATTTATTATATGAAAGTATTAAGGGTTGCTAGTAGATCCTATAAAATAATCAATCTAAAAACGAGAAAATTTTATTTCCGCCAAAGTGTCATCTCTTGCAAAGGATGAGTGACACGTTACAAATAAATTTAATTAAAAATTACGCAATTTAAAAGCAGATTGAATTAAATTTTTATATGAAAGTATTAGGGTTGTTAGCAAATCACTCTAAAAAAGAGAATATTTTATATCCACAAGTGCCAACCTTGCAGTAGATAAGCACCAAGCTAGAAATGATCATTCTAAATTCGAAAATTCTAAAAATGTAATTTTTATTATCTCCACAAAAGTGTCATCCCTTTGGGTATATAAGTTAGAATTAAAAGGTACGTAATTTCAAAACAGACTGGGGTTGAATTTTTGTATGAGAGTATTTAGGGTTGTTCGTGCATGCTCGAAAATGATAACCATTCTAAAAATGAGATCTCAAGAGGTAAACCTCCGCTGTTCATGTCTGCACGTGTATGGCCGGCCTTAGAAAGGATTTTTATATATTAAAAATTACATAGCATACATCGGAGTTAAATTTTTAGATGAAACTATTGAGGATTGATAGTGAATCCCGAGGTGAATCCCCTAAAATGATGGTACGAAAGTATTTAGAAGCAAGATAGGATTACCTGTCTTAAGGTACCTTTACACTATCATACTTCTCATGTGATTTGTCATATGATAAGTAACAAGCATTTAGATTTGTGTTTGCACTATACTATTTTTGGTATTATGGCTGTCATAAGACAAATCATAAGGAAATAATATGGAAATAATACGTAAATCGTGGAATAGGGATGTTTCTATTTCTGCATGACAAATGACATTTAAATATTCAAGTGATCCCGCCCTTTTATGGTTACTTTTCGCATTTTGCTGTTGTACTTATCTGAAAAAGCTGAATACTTGAGTAAGCCAGTAAACTTTTGATTATATCACTGATTATATGTGTGTATAATCAATGATTATAGGTATACTAATGAAAGAATAAATTACATAAACAATAAATCGAGCAATAAATATTTACGAGTATATTGGTAATTGGTTGTCTGGTTGTAGTGGTGTTTTCAGACACACATTGTCAAATAGTGTCTTGATTGGTAATTAACCCTTCGAATGTTTGGGGTAATCTTTCAAATAAGGGTACACTCATCCTTAATGTCGACCAAGGGGGCGACTCTGTTTGCTTTGTTAATGAAACGCATAACGGAGAAATTATTTTTAAAATAATTGTTAAACTTTTTTCGTTAAAAATGTACTATGATTTTTGAGGCACTTTAGAAGTTCACCTATTTGTGCTTTACAGGTGATTTTTTTGAGTTCTAAGTTAGCCTGAAGGTACTTTTTTGTTGAATACTTATTGTGATTTATTTAAAATTTTTCGGGATCCCGCAAATACCGGGTTCCCGCGGGATTAACATCTAACGATCCCGCAAATACCGAGATTGAGATTTTGCTGCGGAATTGCATTCCCTAGCTGTAACTTTTGGACTAGTAGCCCAATCTTGGAACTGTTTGAAATTATGAATTCTACAGGCCACGTTCTATAAGAAAAATTTTTCCCGGGACGATCTGAGACAATTTTTTTTTCGGGGCAAAAAAAAGGCAGTGTATAACCTTCCTTTTTTCCAAAAATCGACTGCACCAAAATTTCTCGGGAAAACACTTTTTCTTATTAATTTTGGTGCGTAGAATCCAAAACAATTTGTACTTTTTCGATCAGACTTCTCAATCAAAAGTTATAGACTAGAAACCAATTTCGAAAGAAAATTCAAAGGGCTGTAACTTTTGAACTAGTAGCCCAATCTTGGAACTTAGAACATTTTAATTTAGAGAAGTTATATAACATATCATATAAAAAATCATGTGAGATATATTATAGTGTAAAGGTACCTTTAGTGGCCACGAGATAAATTCGCTGGGAGTGGTTGCAAGAGCCAATTGAATTTTTAACGCGTCCATATTAAGTAGCAATTTGCCATTTTGTTTTTGGATTAAGTCATTAAGGATAGTGGGAAAGGGCATTCATCTTCTGACAACCAGAAAAAGTTGATGAAAATTAGCATCGACCAAAAAAAAGTTCCAGTTTTCTCCAATTCGGGAGGAACGTTTTTTAATCGCCAAGCATTTCCAGTAAAAGGAATACGAGTAGTTAAAGTGCGATTTAAAATTGCTTTCGAGTGATAAAAAGTTAAATAAATTACTGCAGTAATGATAAATAATCGGTTTTTGAAGGAAGATCCGAAAACATTTTTGGTGTGAAACGGGAAGACCTTTAGTTTAAATACCATAACAGATCAAATTCATATCTATAACATTACTGCACATATTTGCACTAAAAGTTTTGTAATCACCAAAAGATATGTCTCGTCCTGACGTTCTCCTTGACCTTTATGAGTACCCTTTTCCGACACTTTGCTTCCCAAATATTTGCTTCGACTTCACCATTTTCTCCGACACATCGTTTTCGCTTTTATTTTTTTTTACATAACCAATGGATATATTTCTTCCCAATCGCACTTTTTTGAACCCTCTCTACCCAAAAAGAGAATTTCTTTACGTTCGCAGACTATGTACCTACAGGAAAAGCGTGTATTTTGGTTAATTTTCTCAGGAATAGTATCCGCCACACTCCACAGAGATATTCTTTCACAGGAAAGCTCGCCTCAGACATGTACACGAAAAAAAACAGCCGGAAGAATCGCCCATTCTGACTAATTTGACCAGAAAATCATGTAGGATGTCGCCTGCTCCATCAAGAATATTCACCACTAGTTAACAGGCGCAGCTGAAAGGGCCCATAGTATTAAAAAATTCGCTTATGATTAGTCTGATCAGACAAGAACACCCCCGAAAACTCGCCGCTGAAATATTCTCTATAAGAAAATACGCCTCTGTAACGAAGCACCCGTTTTCCGCCTTGAAGTTTCATACCCAGGATTGTGAATATACGGTCGACCAGTCTTGCTAAACACCTGGTATCTAAGCGCTTCGTTTTTCGGAATTTACTTATTTGCCCTAGGAGTGCGTTTTTTGTGTTCTCATTTTGCAACCTTTCCTGTAGGAATATCTAACACTGCCGCCGAAAGCTCTCTTGCCAGGGAGGAAGAAAGATACGTAATCTTATTAAATTTTATATCCGTTAATTACCAATGAATCGATTTTAGTTTACCAATTTTTTTACTAGGGATGGAGGCTTTGGAGTTTACTGTGTGGTAGAATCTAAACATTTTAGGAGAATATAAGGGCACAGGAACTTCCTCCTGGAGGAAAGTAACATCTTTTCAGCGTCGACAGTTCCAACTAAAGTTGTGGAAGCTGTCTATGATAAACTCACTATTTCTAAAACTTCTTGCCGCAACCAATGACAATTTGAAAAAAAAAGTTGTCAAATGCGCCTTGCTCCAATCGTGTCCCTGGAAAGACAAATCAGCATATCATTTAATTTCTATTGAAACGGCCAGAAGACACATAATCTTTTTGAGACCATTGGAGATTTACATTTCTCCCAGCGGCAGCTGACAAGTTGTCTGAACTGTGAAACGAGAGCTTCCTACAATCCAAATTAGAACCAAATCTCCTACTAATCTGGAACTGACAGAACACAAAGCACAATCCAGTCACCAAAACTTGTGCACTACACAAATCGCGAATTTCTACTTTACATGGTCAAATTAAAGTCCCACACGAACTCAACCGGTATAAAGTAACCCTTACCACACCAAGAGGAGAAGAAATTGACACTTACCTAAAAATCTCTTGTCATTGTTAGGGTAGGCTTCTGCGAGTGCCTGCAAAATTTCGTCGTATTCCCGACTGTTCTGGTTTTGATAAACAGGCTGAAGATACTCCTCGTTAGACCCGTCGTAGTAGTCTGTTTCCCTTTTGCTCCTCAACGTATAATCGCCAGTGTAAGGGGTTGACCGTTTAAACTTGGGCTTATAACCTGCCTTTATCGAAGGCAAATTCCGCTTGGATTCGGTCGCCTCCTCCCCTTCCACGTCGGGACTATGCGTGCTGTCGGTATCGTGCCTATTCTGCTCGTTGACGTAATTATCCTGGCGCAGTAAAGCCGCGACGTTACGTTTTCCGACGAATTTACCGCCGCCTCGCGCTAAAGACGCGATGTTTCTCTTGTAATCGTCGTAACCCTCCGGTAAGTTACGTTTGCCGTTGCGAACAATGGAGGCGATGTTTCGCTTGCCCGACTCAAATCGGCTTAGATCTCCGCTGCGAGCCAAAGAGCCGAGGAATCGCTTACCGTAGGAGGGAAAATTGAAATCTCGAGCCAAACTGCCGATGTTTCTTTTCGCATTGATTTCGTCCAACAGCTCCTCCATCTCCCTGCGATTGTTGATCAGCTCGCCGTTTCTGGCCAACGAGGAGATGCTGCGCTTCAGGTCGTCACTCTGAACGGGAAACTGATTCATCCGGGCTAAGCTTTGAATGCTCCTCTTCAAGTCGCCATCATCCGCGCTTTCCTCACTCGGCCTTAGGTACCCCTCGCGCGCAAGCGACTGTAAACTTCGCTTCGTCGCCATATCATCCCAACCCTTCTCCTCAAGCCCATTATCAACCTGCTCATCCAACCCCTGTCGAATTAGATTCATCAACCGCATACGCAACGCTTGAGCTTGAATTGTGCGATCCTCCGGAGGTGACAGGATCGGTTTCAGTAGTCTTTCGATTTCGCATGACGATATCGGTGTATCCTCCGACTTTATCTGAAAGGAAAAATTAAGTGAGTCTCATAATTTTGCGAGAATTAAAAATTCAAATTTGAGTGGTGCGGCAGCTGGGAGAAATTTAAATTAGACAGGCGAGCGCGGAAAAATTGAATTAGTTGGAAACGTGACAGCGAATTTGCAACAGGTTTCGTGTTTATTAGGGTGAAACTCATTTTTAGTTTGTTGATGCAAATCACATTTAAATACACATTGTTCATTTGCAATTTTCAGTAATGGAAAATGTGTCAAATCAGCATATTTAGTACAAATCGCGATTCGAGTGCTCTTCTTTCTGAAAAGGGTACCTACCTATGTCCCTTACTTCAATTGCGATTATTGAAGAAAACTATTTAGAGCTACCCTGTACAAAGTGTAGGTTCAAAATGCCACACCAAATGCAACCAAATTTATGGTTAAGAAGAAGCAAAATGGTGAACCCATTTTAGATTCGAGATGAAAGTTGAGAACACAAATGTTGTTATTTCACCGTGTATTCTTTAATTGATATATGGAACTCAAAAAGTGACCAAAAACTGGCCAAGAAAGGATGGAAATGCTGAAGAAATTACTTTAGCCCTTGAGAGCTTCCTAGCGCTCACTGGAGGATTTGGAACGCTTTAGAAAAGTGTTTTGGAGGTCTGAAAAAGTTAATGGAAGAACTGCCGCATTTAGAAAAAGCTCAGATCGTTTCAAAAAGTGTTGGATTATTTTGGAAAACATTTCCGGGAAGAGCTTTCTAAATACTTTCAGAGCACCCCCGCGACTTTCCGATGTTTCCGGACATTTTCTTTAGGAAATTTAGACCCTCCTCAGAACTGAGTGCCGTCCAGAACTCCACAGTACCCAAAAAAAATTTTTATATCCTGTCCAGAGCATTGCAGAGTCTGCCAGAGATTTATAGTTTATTTTAGGTCTGTTCTAAAGCTGTCTAGACTCGACCAATTCCGAAAAAAGGAACTACCTAAAAGTTCCTTTTCCAAAGCAATCAAAGGTTATCGAGAGCACTCGCCTGCTAGCAGCGATGTATCGTCATCCCTTTCTGAGATCAGAAACGACTACTAAAAAATGATGCGAAAATGGCCTACACGCTCTGAAACTGCTCGAAATCTTTGAAAACTTCCAGGAATGCATTAATAACAATTTACAAAGCTTCACAAATAGCCTAAAGGGTTCAAAAAAGGGATTTGATTGCCCTGGAAAGCACTTATGAACTATGAAAGGGATTTGGAAGGTTTTAGAGAACTTGCTGACCTTTTCCCGTTTGTTTATGTCCACGCCTTCCTAGAAATTTAGAGAGTCTTCTTGAACTTCTCCGGTGCTAGTTCAGCAGAAGCTCTAGAGAGAGCTCCTTTGCAAGATCGAGAAATCCCTGGAGTGCAACCTTTAAAAGGGAGCTAAAAGGGAGTGGTACCTTGAAATGTCTGAATACATCTGAAAGGGCGATGGGAGTTTCTGCGGAAGCGATATAAAGTTCAGAAAAGTACCTGTTAGTGCCTAGGGATTTGCAAGACACTAGAAAACATTTACTTGCTATAGGTACTTGACCTAGAACCGTTCCGTAAGGCGCAGATAAAGGCATAAAAATATCTGGAGGGGATCCAGACGTCTTTGGAAAGCGATCATAACATCTAGCGATCTAGCTAAGCTCCAAAGCTTCCTTTGCTTTCTGTTCGCACTTTTAGGGGAATTTTTTTAAAGAAGTCCCCTTTATGTCCTGGTTTTGTCCGTCCGTCGACAACGAAAATAGACAGCAATATCAAACCTTCGCCAATCAATTTTTCTAAGAGTTCAACCATCAGTACTATTGAATATGAACCGGATTAAAAGTCATGTTTCCGAATGCGAGTTTTAGTGTCAAAAAATTCCCCTAGAGTAGAATAATTTAAAGATTGCGAATCTTTGAAATTTAAAAGTTTTGTTTCTTGATGGGCTTGGGAAATTTTTCGACCCGAGATGTCTGGCATTATATCATATTTGGTCTTCTTAATTAGTGCTATTTAGTTACACCTGCAAATGCAAGTGGATTGCACAAGAACGGCCCTAAAAGTGCATTCAATTTCGCGAGGATCTCCAGTAAAATTTGGTTGAGAAAATATGATGTGGACTTAAATAAAACAAACCCATGAATTGTACGAGTATACCATTGTACTCATGAAACTCGTCTTAACATTCCGCTTTAAGTTACGCGATTAAACAGCAAAAGACGATAGGACATATAAATTTTTAACAGAAATTCTGTTTCAACGCCTGCATTTGTTAAACGTTAATGAAAATGTGCATAGTGGAAATTTCTCCCTCAAATAAATTGTTAGTTTTAACCGTTGGTGACAGTAAACAAACTTTTGCTTGTAGGTAACGTAAAAAGAGAGAAACTAATTCAGTCCAGAAGAAAAATCTTCATTGAATAATACATATCACAGACGTTTGTCTTCAGAAGGTTCTGAATATACTTTTCTACTGAGTAAGTTTCCATATCCTAGTTAATGTAAGAAGGCCGTTCCGAGCTTATTCTGTTTTAACACCTTTATCTACAAACATGTTCGTTTTACGAGGTACAGTGCTATTTTATTAATATCAAATTAAATGGTTGAATCTCTTTAAGAACCAGTGTCATAATTAATAATTAACTGTAGCTTTAACAGAAGAAGTACCTAAAATAAAATTTAATTGGTACGTTCTCAAAGAATTTAACCTAAATAACGATTTTTGAACCTTTGTATTATATGTAATTGAACATTTCGCAAGACTGTGTAAAGTTCTTCAATTTCTGTATAAAATCAGTAACAGAATTCCTGCAAAAATTTCTTTTTATTATCATTTTCACCCAAACCTCTCCAAAAGTTCGTGTAATGGCTCCGTGTTCCCCATATGTTCGGGACTCAAGATTTTTTCACACTTTCCTTAGCGTCCGCAAAAATGCATTGTCTTAAATTTCCCCAATGTTTAATTACAACAAATCAAAAAAATAATACCTAAAGATATTCCTTACCCAAAAATCGCTACATTTTCCTAGTTTCCGCAAAATTGCATAAAATTCACCAATTTCTATGTGGAATAAGTAACAAAATTCCCTTAAAAACTGCTTTTTGCATTCTTTACATTTTTTTCTCACTTCCAACAAACTTACCTTGTGTTTTTCTCTGGAAATATGTCTAATTTTGCCATATTCGTCATATTTTCCACGCGAAGGATAAGAACCTCTTAAAATGCATCAACTGTCAAAAAATCAATTACAACGTCTCAAAGGACTTGAAAAGCAGAAATGACAAAGGACACTGCAACCTAATAATAATAAATATAAGAGAGGTAAATGAAGAGAAAGTCCAATAAAAGTACGAAAAGAGAAGGGGCGAAAGAAATAAACTGAGAGCGACACCGGTATTGGCAGTGAAAAACCATAGGTGTTCATTATCGTGGAGGAAAATTTCTCAGAATTGCAATAAGTTTTTTTAAGTGGTGCAACTTTTTCTTTCCACCAACTTTTCCAAATTATTCTGACTGCGACCCAACAAGCTTTCACTTCTAATTAGTGAAAATTCACAGATACGCTATGCTATGCAAGCAAAGCTGTTTTTTTTTCAGATTGTGCTTGACCGTATAAATACTAAAGAGCAGTCTACACAAATTTATGAAAGAAAGAGAAAGAGAGAAAGAGATTTTATTAACGATCACGTACGCTTTGAAAAGTCGCCTCGCCGCATCAAGCAAATATAGAAATCCTAATATTTGGATTCATCCAATATAAGACTCCGATGATGCAAACTGTGATATTAGATTGGGGTTTATTAAATGTCCTACTTTGATCGGTAAACAAATCTCTGTTTACGCATGCATGCTGTAAGGGCGCCTGAGGGTGGGCCCTTACTACCTGTTTTGCACGAAAGGTATCAAGTAAGGGTATGAAACAAAATGTAGTTTCGGAAGTGATAAATCAACAAAATATGAAAGTATAACGAGGCGATGGGAAAAACAAGAAACGCGAACGAAACAGTTTTCAGCGCGTCGTTGATGGGGATCTGACAACTGTTGCTATGCGTAGGGGTGAGGGTCTTAAAGGGGTGCAGTTTAGAATCTTCATCATTTTTACAAGGGAGCTCGCGACTTTATTTCATTCTAAACTTACCACAATAATCCATTAAAACTCAACATCAGTTTCAATGTATAGAAACATGTCCTTTTCATTGAACCCATCGAAAGCTTCCAACTTCTGGACCGTTCCGATTTAGAATGCGCGTTATATTAAAAATTTGAAAATGCCGGACCATTGTCCGAAACGTAATTGTCTATAGCTAAATGTTACTGGAAAATGTCTAACCAAAATATCTGCTCAACTTACAATTATTTAAATAAAACAAGTTATAAATCAGCATATGCATGATGAAAGCACATTTTTGGTAATGCAGATCAGTATTTTATTAGCAAACTCAAAATAGACTAGAGCCTGCACATCTACACTATAGCAAAAAGCTTTTAGTGAATATTTTAAATTCTCTAGCTATTTTACTTGCTGAGATCTCAGCCAGACAGCCAGCCATAACGAATATAACAGCGGATTTTTTTTCAAAAATCAAAAATCAGTATCAGACCACTACAAAAAATTCTAATTCAACACAAGGGGATAGTGTTACCCCTAAAGTCGATCGACAAACATTGTGTAATGCATTTTACTTGTCGATTCCCAAAAAAAACCTTATCACTAAAATCTGGTCACTACAAAAAGAGTAAAGGAAACAAACGACTGCAAAAAAGGGTGGGGTAAATCGCCCTAAAAAATTACATTTTTAATTGATTTTGAAGAGATTGAAAAAATGAGATTTCGCTACTATAAGAAGAGTTGGAACCGTCCAACGGATTTTAAAAAATATGCTTGGGCTCTAAAATCGAACGAAAAAGCTAAAAGCAAAGGCAAATACGTAATGTATTTTTCAAAATTTCTACGACTTCCAAAAAGGTTGTTAAGAAGATTTTTAAATGAATTACAATGAGAATCAGCATTT